ATAGGAAGAGGTAATTCTGGTTAAAACAAGTTACTATCATTATGATAGAGAAAAGAAATAAAAGGAAAATAAATAAGTTAGAATTTGATGGCTATTTGAAAAGACTTCCCCCAGTTAACAGTGATTAAAAATTCTGAATGCAAAATTAATTTATTCTTTGTGAAGCTGGAATTCAAAATGAGATCCAGGAGTTACTATAACCAGATGTTGTCACTAGCAGAAAGAATCTATGTTAACAATTTATCTACAGTTAATTCAGGGGCAAGCTTAATGCAAAATTCACATACACTAATACCCATCGTTGCAAATATTGGCATTTTAATTAGACAAAAAATATTACCCTCAAATTACTAGGATCGTATTTTAGTATTATAAATATATAAAGCAACTATCTGAAGTGAAGTACACTTTTTAAAATAGAAACAGCTTTCCCTTAACCTTCTTGACAAATTTAAATTGTATTCTTGAAGTGGAGCTGTTGTTAGATGTGTCTTCACTGTTATATACTTTGAAACATAACTTGGTCTTTGCATCTTTTTCAGGATGTTCTTGAGGAGAGAATTTCCCTGGAAGTTCAACTGGAACAACTTCGACCATTCTCTCACCTATAAGCCAATTGCCGTTAACTGTGAACACAACCATTTTTAAGTGATTTTGGGTTCAAAGCCAATTTGGAGACCCAAACATTCAGCTCACTGCATAATTCAACATTAAATTTTATGATTCTGTTTTGCCCTATATGTTCACCATTGTATTTAAGTATCTTTTATTTTTTAATTTCAACAATAAAAGGGTCAGGATGACTTTTTCTGGCGGGTATATTGTGTTTGTTGGCACACCTTACCCTTGCTGTTCCATAGCATCAGGAATACATAACAGTGGTTAATTACATTTATATGGCCAAAACCACACACTGATTTGATTTACAGAATGGGCATCCCATTTACATCTCAAGCCAGCCACAGCCTCAGAAATCTTTGCAAAAAGGAAACATAAACTGTCAATTTGTCTTCTTTTAGGTTTAATATTTTACATAAAGCATCTGTATTTGTTCCATAAAAATCTTTAAAATGAGTTTCTTAATTAGTTTTTGGTTTTAAAGAACTATATTGGATAAGGCAGTTTTCACTATAAGTGAATTTAATAGAAAAGTCTTCCTCTCTGCAGTAATCAACATTGTTCAGGAGTCACATGGTACTTTTAGACCTCTTTTACATGTCAACTTGTGACAAATATAAAACATGTCAGATTTTGTATTTTCTTTGGGAATATTTGATCAGTTTCATCTGTGACTTAGCATTATTTTGTATCAGATGTTAATTCAGCAGTAGTTGTGTAAACTTATGAAGCAGCTATCAAGATAAGCCTTTCTTAATTGTCCCTCACAGTGAAGGGAAGTATGAATCCACCACATAAGTACTGTCTTCTTGGAAACATCACCACTTCTTGCATGATTATGTACTTAACTTTCTATTAACTCAATCTAGAGAGATTATTTTCAAGTACTGTCTTCTCAACTTTTTTTGTTTTGGCAGATAGGCAGGTTTTTCCTATTAAAGAATTTCTGGAGTGTGCCCTATTCAGGATAATACACTGTTTTAGAATTGTTTTATATGATATGTACATTTTTTTTTTTTTTTTTTTTTTTTTTTTTTTTTTTTTTTTTTTTTTTTTTTTCGTCAGAAATGGACTACGAATGATATGTACATTTTTATCACATTTGTAAATTTACATTGACTGCTGACTAACAGCAGATATTCCCTTTAAGATTTATTCTGTCTATAGGATCATAGATGTTAAGCTGCATGGATACATCTCAGCAGAATCATAAGTGTGATTTTATGCTAATAAAACACAGTAATTTTGTACATTTTTAAATAAGGATTTAAATGTTTAAGAATTAGGAATTTGTATTTTCATTGCTGAAAGAGGAAAATGTTTAAATAGCCTAGGTTCGCAATCTTAGACTAGACCAGTCGATTTTATTACCTTAAATTGGAGTATGGAGCAAAAGGGAAGTGACAACCTAAAGCTTCTAAGATTAATATAACTTTCATCTAGCAAAATTTAGGTAAAAAAAAAATATTATTGCACATATCAGCTAAAATTTCCAAGTGGCAAACAGTATGTTTACAGTTTGTTGAATAACCAAATGAAGGCTTTAAAGGCCCAGGAACCTACTCAACACCTATCTTGCTGTTTGTTTTAAACAGAACTGTCCTTTTTTATTTTTACTCAGCTAAATTCCATTATAGGCAAGTTTTACTAGGTTTCCATTTATTTTTGTTTTTTAAAAGTTGCTTTTTTTTCAATCGATTTCTAATTTAACAATGTCACAAATATTTTTAAAGCTTCTTTTTTGGAAGAAATAAGACTTTAGTTTTGCTACCCAAAACAAAAACACTTAAAAATTGTAAAAAACTTTTTAGTACTTTGTAGTGATATATTTTTGATGCTCTCTAGAGGAGTACATTCATGTTAAGGATATATATGACAAGTTTTTTAATAAATCGCCATTTATATTTCTTCTACATATTTTTAAATCAATAATCATTTCATGAACATGTTGTAGATGATTGGTAAATTACCAACACATTAAGATACTTTCCTAGACAGAAAAAACACTTCATTCTGCTTTTATTTTTTTATTAGATGATAAAACTTTATACAATATGCTTGCTCTGTCTCAGGTTTCATCACAATAGTCAAATTATTCTAAGCAATATTATCCACGATATATCACTGCCAAAAGAACTAGTTTAAATTTGGGGGCTTACATTGTTCTTATGATCCATTCTACATAAGTGAGCATAGATAATAAAGTTTTAAAGTTGGAAGGAACTTTATGGGTCATCCTAGTTCATCCTCTCATCATCCGTGACCAATAATCATTCTGTTTCTTACTGGATATTCATTGGAACATAAAATTTATGTTGATTATTTTTGCCATGGAAAATTGGCACCCCTGATGTTTTCTTTAAGTTTGGTTTTACTTCTCCATACTACTTTTGATTGCATTTTGGAGTACTGACAACCATAGGAACTTATCATCCTCTACCTCTGTAGCACAAATCCATTGATGCTTGGGACCTTGAAGAATAAATGCATTCTTGACATCTGTAAAAGCATTTGAGTACACTAATTAATTTTTACAGGGTAACAATCAAAAGAAAAAATATTTTAAAATTCAAAAATTAAGTCATCTTTAAGAATTTTTGAAATCTTAAAAGAGATCCAGAACAAATACAAATGTAGTTTATAATGCCCTAAAATTATGAATAATTCAAATATCTAAAGTACTACTTTTATATCATAGTTATTGTAATTAGCAGTTGTTTTAAAGACTAAATGATAGATGATGAAATGTTCTTTAATTCCTTGTTTCAGCCCCTCCAGAAGGAACTGGAAATAGTGACAGACTTTACTAATAAGTTATTGTAGGTAGAGATATTGAGAACTAGACCTAGACAACCTTGGTATGAGGGCCAGTGACAGAATTAAGCTGCTACCTGGCTGAGTACCTGCTATCTATTAGGTTATGTAGCAGTGTTCTTGTTATCATGGTGGGAGGGAACTTAAAGGAGATATGTTTAATACGCTATTTAACCATACCCAGTAATTATAGGTAACTGACTCCTTTTACCTGAGTTTGTCTTCTAGGTGGAAATATTTATTTCCACACTTGGTGTACATTTTTTCTCAGGCTCAGATTTAGAATGGACTGAAACCATTGGGAAGTAGCCCTTTTAGTTTAGGGGTTGGTTATTTTTCTAAGATCTTGGTTCCACCTTTAACCTTAAACCCTGTCTTTACATGCAGTGAAGAATATTAGAATGAGAGATGTTACATTCACATTGTTTGGCTTAACAGAAATATAGGAAAGAGATACGGATCCTCTTAATCTTGGGAAGTAGAGTGTAGGGTAATAACTAAAAATAGGTTGTCCTATAATATGCTGAAATAAAAAAGAAAAAAACAGGTACAATAGTTTTTTTTTTTTTTTTTTTTGAGACAGAGTCTTGCTTTGTTGCCTAGGCTAGAGTGAGTGCCATGGCATCAGCCTAGCTCACAGCAACCTCAAACTCCTGGGCTCAAGCGATCCTTCTGTCTCAGCCTCCCAAGTAGCTGGGACTACAGGCATGAGCCACCATGCCCGGCTAATTTTTTCTATATATATTAGTTGGCCAATTAGTTTCTTTCTATTTATAGTAGAGACGGGGTCTTGCTCTTGCTCAGGCTGGTTTCGAACTCCCGACCTCGAGCTATCCGCCCGCCTCGGCCTCCCAGAGAGCTAGGATTACAGGCGTGAGCCACCGCGCCCGGCCTGGTACAATAGTTTTAAGTAGGATATCTTATGACATCATTTCTGTTGCAATCATTATAAATAAAATGTTTAAGTTACTAAGCATCCTATACAAAGTATGTTGATTCCTTTATTTAAAAAAGAAAACACAAAACTCCCAATTTAAATGCAAACTTAAGAAAAGGTACAGTCCAATCTGTTATAATACCTAGTCCCAGTAGAATGGAAAAGTAATAAATAAATATCTGAAATATACTTCAAAGCTGTAGCACCTTCAGACAGTATAGAATAGTGGTTAAGAGCTCCAGCTCTCATGTCAGACTGCTGCAAAGAATTCACGATAATGTGAGGTTTTACCTCCCATTGTGGTTTTTGAAAGCTGCTTTCCTAATGTTCAGAGCGCATGTCTGAAAATGCCAGTACTCCTGTCTTTTGCTATTTCATAGGTAAATGAAAGCTTATATTATTTCATGAAATCCTAATACTTGGGAAATTATTTGCTAACCGGTAAATTATAATTCCCCTCAGTCCTTTTCCTACTTTTTTATTGATTAATGAGCTTTGTGTAATATAGCTATAGTATTTGTCTTTTGGAAGGAAAAGAATACATACACTTAGAATCTGGAATATCTTCTACAAATATCCTATGAAGGGCCACTGATGCAATGAACTGGTAGTTGGTTTTTGAAGTCCTTTCAAATGGAGTATGAGATGTTCCCCGACTAGACACAAGCAGTGTATCATTGAAGAGAAAAAGGCTGAGGTCACGGATGTGTTCATAGAGCCTGGGTTAAAATGAAGAAGGGACAGATTTAGTAACATAGGTACACACATGTTTGTACCTATGTTACTAGTTAACATAGGTACCTATGGTTACTAGTTAACCGTTTTGAAACTGATTAGCCATTAGTCAAGGTTTTTATCCCACTATAGACCTTTTTAGCAGCTTGTTGAAGTTCTCAGTATAATATTCCTCCTGATGTGATTAGTCCCTTCTCTGTCTTAGACCAAAACTGTGGGCCATCAGGATTCCTGGTGGAGTGGTTTGAGCTTGTCCATTGGGCAAGTATTTTATAATCAATGTGGGAAAGATGAACACTGAACTTTTCCTCCCTTATGAAATGAATCAAATTATAGCTGTGGTGGTAAACTTTGGTGTTTTGATGTATTGGGGCAATCCAAAGAAAATAAGTTTTTGTGGCATGCGGTATCTTAGTAGAAAGCATTAAACTGCTAGGTAGAAGTAAATATAAAAATTTTTACTTTAGATTGGAAAGAAATTGATAGGTAACTTAATATACTTTATCAGTATGGAAGGTAAAAATCAAATAGTTCTTTATTTTCACTGAGGTTGCTACAGTGGTCAACTGTAAGCATATTTATCAAGGGGCAAAATTTGATGTCCTCAACCTCCCATCTGTTATTCTCTTTGTTCTTCTGTTGCTGGAGCCTGGTCACTGTGTCTGGCAGGTCTCACTGGGCTCTAGTGTGGGCTGTCCATCCTGTGTGAGTACTCTAGCCAAGCACCAGGTGATACACAGGGAGGAGCTGGGGAGACCCCGTCCCACCGCCCCCCAGGAATGGCTAAGTGAAGCAAGCTAAATGTTTTAATGGAAGATAATTTTTTTTTTCCTTTTAGAAACATCAAGCAACCCTAAGGAAGTTACTCTAAAGAATAGTCAATTTATTTATGCTTGTTCAGGGGAATCTCTTATTTTTTAATCTTCACCATTTTTGTTTAATTTTTAAATTGTCAGTATAGAACATAAAGTGTTACCAAATGCTTAAGTGACATCCGCCTCTTAGGTTTTTACTTAGTGTACCCTCTTTTCCCTCCACTTTTCCACTCTGGTTGGCTCATTCTTCTCTTCGCTCAGGTCACCCAAGTTCTCAACCTAGCACACATAATCCTTTCACTCTTTGTACTTGCTCAGGTAATCACATCTGTTTATGGGGAGGTTGCCATTACTTTATGAAAATGCTAAGATTATCCCCACTTTTTTCCTGCTTTCTTTCCTAGCAATGGCAGTCTCTTCAAGCTAACTGGTATAACTTTAATTCATTCTTTTTAATGGCTAAACAGTACTTCATGGTGTGGATGAACCATCATTCATTCAACTTTTCCCCTCTTGATGAGTGTCCACTTTTGGTGGACTTTTGCTTTATCTGGAGGCTTGGATCCCTTCCCTTTTTTCTCTTCCTCTCCCTCTTCACTTGTTTTTTCTATAAATGATGTTGCAATAAACTGATTCCTTACATATAAACAAATGCCTTACATCTGCTGTTACTTAGATAGGATTCCTGAGAGTAGGACTGATAAAGGGTACAGTAGTCATCATTTATCCATGGTTTGGTTTTTCACAGTTTCAGTTACCGGTGGTCAACCAAGGTCTGAAAAATTCCATATATAAACATACACATAACTTTTATTACAGTACATTGTTATAATTGTTCTATTTTATTACCCGTGACTGCTGTTAATCTTTTACAGTACCTAATTTACAAATTAAACTTTATCATAGGCTTTATCATATACATGTATGTATAAGAAAAAGTGTAGTATTTTTAGGGTTCGGTACTCTCCAAGGTTTCAGGCATCCACTGGGGTCTTGGAACATATCCCCAGTGGATAAGGGGAGGCCATTGTATATATTTTTATCAAAGACTTCCAGGCTATTCTCCATAAAAGCACTATAATTCACATAACTCACTTTATATGATAATGACTCCGACTGGTACATAGTACAAACTTTAATTTGCATCTGAATTACCTGATGATTTTGTCAAAATGCAAATTCTGAGTCAGTAGAGCTAGGGTGGCCTAAGATTGTATTTCTAGCAAGCTCCCTGATGGTGCTGAGTCCACTGATCTGCAGGCCACACTTGGAGCAGTAAGGCACTTAAGCATTTATTGGTTATAGCCATGCCTAAGAACTGGGCGAAGGACTGGATGGGGAGCTACAACATTTCAAGGGGTACTGTGTTTTAGTTTCAGCTATTTGGAGATTGTTAGGAAGTAGGAGTTGTTTTAGGTGTATGGATAGATGAAAATGCAGTGGTCACCCAACCACAGCGCAACTCATCCTTTCAAACCCTTCCTTTCTGTCTTTGGTGACGACTTAGGCTGGAAGGAGTGAAGTCCTTCACATTTATTGATACCTTGTAAGAAATAATATTCTAAATCAAGTTGATAGGTTATTCTAAGGATAATGGAGTGTACTAAACTCTAGAGAAAAGGGAGAGAGGAAGCAGGAGAGGCAGGGGTGCATTTGCAATGCTCTGGGCAGTATGGGGTGAGTGACTACTTTAAATAGGCAAAAGAATTCTACCATGTTTTGCTTTTTTAGCAGGGAAAAGGAACAATATTTTTATCATATCCCTGATATGAACAGTTATTTCTCCTATCACAAGATTAGAAAAATGTTTAAAGTTGTAATAAAACTTTGCTGTTTTATCTGAATTATCAGGGAAGATGCTTACAGAGTGCTTTGAAGAAGTGGCATTCAAAAGGGTGCTTGCTTTGGTCGATAGGTGTTCTGTTCTTTTCCTTTGGGAAGGACAACATTGAGAGCAGAGGTAATTGAAAGAGAATTAAGAGTTTTGTGACCACTTGGACCAGGTGGGCGACTGGCCCAGGGAAGGGAAGGGGCAGCCTCCCTGACCTGAGCTCAGGATGCTTAGTAGGGAGGCCTTTTGTAATCTTAGGACATGAGTGAGGGAAAGATAAACACACGAGAGTTTATTTTAATCTGATTGTGAGAGTGCTATTTAAAACACACACACACACACACACACACACACACACACACACGATTTTTATCTAGAAAAAGTTTTTCAAAAGCCATTCACTAAATTAAGCCCCCCTAGATCTCTCCCAACAATTTCCATGCACAGACAAAACACCAGGTTTAAAAAAAATTAACAATTCCTCTAAATATGCAAAAGTAAATATAACTGTCCCTCAGTGTCCATGGGGATTTGGTCCAAGGACCTCCTTTGATACCAAAATCCAAGGATGCTCGAGTCTCTAATATAAAATGGTATAGAATTTGCATATAACCCATACATATCCTTCCATATACTTTAAATCATGTCTAGATTACTTACGATGCCTAATACAATGGAAATGCTCTGTAAATAGTTGCACCGTATTGGTTTTTTAATTTGTTTTTAGTTCTTTTGAAAGCTTTTGATCCTTGGTTGTCTGAATGCAGAGATGCGGATCCCACAGGTGTGGAAGGCCAACTGTGATTTCACCTTTAATACTGACATAAGGGAGCCGCTGAAGTAGATTCTCCTGGTGTTTCTGAAATGCCTCTGCTCACACTCAGAATCAACTCCAACGGTGTTTTTTTTTTCCCCTGAACTTTGATAGGGTTTCTTTCCTTATTTATAGATAGGTTCAATGACTCGGCATAATGGAACACAGCTGCTATAACATAAATTCTTAACTCCATTCTAGAAGTGTTTTGTTGTTAAAGACTACACCAGCCAGCCCAAAGACAGAAAGGCACAAAGTACCTAACTTCTATCAATACATAAAACTTTAAAAGAAATTTTCAGGATAGAAACTTTGGAATGAACAGACAACAGGAGCTGACCTGCGCCAAAACTGTTTATCACCTAGTGCCTCGACACCCACACACTGACTGCTGGATCACAGTGGCTTTTTAGCTCCCCAGAAGAATCAATTCTGAACCAGAGTCTAGTGTCCCTGAGAAGTCTGGATACCCTTTCCCCAATGCAAAGTCACACTGGTAAATGACCGTAGGTCCCTCTGGGGAAGGCTAAGAGTAAAGTTAAAGAGTAAAGGCCTTTTTGGCAGTGTAGCAAGTAGAGTCTTTCCTCGAGGGGACTCTGGGTCTGGGAAGTGGAGGGCCCTATTTGGTGATTAAGGCCAGGCCTCTAGTCACCGGTTTTTAGAGAGCTCCACTTCTGTGACTTCCGATAGACCCCACTGGAAAAAAAACAGCATGCTTAAAATTCAGCAAGCCTAAAGTCACATAAATGAAAATCAGTGTTTCTGAAAAAACAATACAATTAAGTTCCAAGGTACATAATGTATACTAAAACCTTAACATACCCAAAACTCTGGGCTGTGTCCACAGAGGAACAAATGCTCTCTGAAGTTGCTAGCTCTTAAAATGATTCTCTTACTTCATCCCTATCCTAAAGTTTTTCATTTAGAATGTAAACATTTACTTGTTCTGTCATAGCTCTTGTTAACTAATTATCTGTTTAATATTGCTGCTATGTTGGTGAGTGATTATGAGGAAGGCTTTGTTCATCTTTCCACCTGCCAGTCTAATTGGTGGGAACAGCACTGCCAGTGCACTGAGACCTGGTTCTGAATTCCAGACTAGCACTTAAAAGGTCTGTGACCTCAGGCAATTTAAGTCAGATTCCTGTAACAGAGGGAGTGGCCTGGAAAAAACAGCAAAAATATTTTCTGTCTCTTTAAAAACATCCTCCACTCCTTTTTGAAAACTAAAGCCTGCATCCCTGCCTTAGGCCAGTGGTTGGGAGGGGCAGGGTAAGTCTTTTGTTTATTTGTACAACAGGAGATGGCCAAGCTCTGACCTGGTGAAGGGAGGTCACAAGATTGTCTTCAGCTGAGGAGGGATGATCAACTATAGTTGATAGTATATAGAATCATCAACTATAGTTGAATAGTAATTACCTGAACCTGAGAACACAAACCTTTAAAAGCTCTGTATTCCTGTGGAAGGTTCAGGACATTTGGCTTTTAAGATGAGAAGGTGTCCTGTTTTTCCTCCTTTGCTGGCAAAGTAAATCTCTTTTCTCCTCCCCAAAACACTTGTCCTCGTTCTGATTTGGCTTCATGGACAAGTGCCGGGTTCCTCAGTAACATTCTACCTGCCTCACCACGTGATTGTAATAAATGTGTCAAATGAGAGCAGTTAAAACATGATAAACTGTAAGGTATACTCATGTGAATCAGTTCTACATGTATAAATATAAGCAGAGTGTTTTTCCTCCAAGTAAAAATTCCTGATGAAAATCATAGGAATGCCTTTTCTTGGGATTTTATGTGATTTTCTAAAAAGGTTGCAGGCTAATACTGATTGATATCTTTTAGAATATGAGCCTGTTAGCATTTACTTCAAATATTAATGTGAAATTACATTTGTATTTATTGTCAAATGGAATCACTGAGAAAGTACTGTTGACCTAAAAGATAGAAATTGAGGCAAAATCAATATAAGTAAAGAGCTTATTTGGGCCAAGCTTAAGGATTGCAAATCAAGAGCTTAGATTCAAATTGCCTTGAATATACACTCCAATTAGCAGCAGTTGCAAGTGGATTTTCAATGGAAAAGAAGGGCTGTAATCCCAGTACTTTAGATGGTCAAGGCAGGAGGATCGTTTGAGGCCAGGAGTTTGAAACCAGCCTGGGTAACATAGTGAGACCCTGTCTCTACAAAAAAAATTTAAAAATTAGTTGGACAAAGTGGCAGTGTGCCTGTAGTCCCAGCTACTTGGGAGGCCAGGAGTTGAGGAAGAAGAGTTTCTGAGTTGTTTACCAAGAATTTACATTTAAATAACAAGCTTTTCATTAACTATACATTGTTCTTTATATTTCATATTCCAGGAGCATGAAAATTGTGGGTGAGGCATCTACCGTACTCAGGAACAAAATGCCTTTAAACAATTGCCTCCAGTCATGGGTGCAAGTTCAGGGTGAGGAATGACTGAAGTTCCACACTTAATGTCTCTCGGGACCTGATAAATTTTGCACATACCTCACATACCTAGCTGACTGCTCTGAGCTATTTTTCTTTTATCAGCACCTACTAAATATAAATCTTCATAATTAGAGTGCAAAATAATTTTGTATTGTCCTCAAAATACTCTGTTGTTCAAATACTGAAGATACAAATACAAAATTCTGATAACTGAGGCTACCAGCTTCCATTTAACATATAGAGCTTGAAAATTGTTAATCCCATCCTCACAACAAAAAAGAATCTGAGAAATTCAGAATCAACAACTTTTCTCAGACCTGTCAGAGAATTGAGGTTACAGGGTAAACCATCACCATCTCAAAAGCTGAAGAGACAAACAGTTACAGAGAATCACAGTTTATCAGAAACAGAAACTGCCAGAGCCAGCCTGGAATAGGAATACTTAAAGGGTAATTGACTACTTGCAGGAGATTGAGTGTGGACTAGTGTAAGCAATTAAAACCTCTGCGGCTCCCATAGCGGTGTATTTTGCCTCCAGGAGCTCACTGGGTTCTCACTGTGAAGAGCTGAGAAAAATCTCCTACTTCTTCCTGGGGCAGTACCATTTTGAAATGAGCCTAGAAAGTTTTGTTCCCCTTAACAAAAGGCCTGCCCTCAAGGGAAACTTTTATCAGAAACTAACCA